TTAACTCAAAGTACAAAGTTTGAAGTGTCTTCATGTAAAATATTTCAAATAAAGATTTATATTTAATATATTTTTTGATATTTTCAAAATCGGGTATGATATACCCATGATTAGTAGTGGTGTAACTTTTATTGATGGTTAATGTTCTGGGGTTAAAGGATAGAAAGTTATGGATATCCATGATCGCCTACGTCCTGAAAGTACACGGCACGTAGGTGTTCTCGTGTTCTTTCCTCTATTCTCTAACCTTTGTAAATTCTTAGATTCAAAATTCAATTGTTTTGTTGTAGGAACGCGATCGTTTTGTGACTCATTGTTGCGTCGAAGAGAGTAAAAAAAAATGAAATGAATTAAATTCTGCTACTGGAGAATCTCAGTTCAGACTTATTTTATGTGAGTTGAAAAGAGTCTTTTCATCTGCTGGGCGGAGGAATAGACACGAGGTCTGATATCGGAAATCACACCCCAGTGCGTTTACTTTTGAATCGGCTTTGTATTATAAGAATACTAACACCTACGCGTAGATGTGCATATTTTACGTGTGTGTGTGTGTGTGTGTGCTGATGTATTTGTGTATGCATTTATGCATGTTTTAATACGAACGTTTTCACACTTATGCATAAATGCCTTTATATAGATATTTGCCAAAATTAGACTGCAGAAAATGTGAATGTTGGTACTGCGCCAATTATTAACCTTTGGAGCCCTGACCACCGTTTTACCGGTGGTAGAGAAAAATGACTTAATGCCCAGCCACCGGTTGAACGGTGGGTAAACACTTGCGTCGTGTTTTTCTATTGTGTTCTTTTAAGCAACTTTCCCCCAACAAGCCAAGTCACTCAGCTTCAGAAAGTTCCTAGATCAATAATGTGTGGATCTGGTGGGTGCATTCCAGCCAGTTGCGGTGCGCAGGCAGCCAACCAATACTGATGCTCTTGAACGCCTGCAAAATGTCGGCCTCCACCTCCCAGAGATACCAGAAGATGCTTCCACTAACAACCACTATGCTGTGTGCTCTTATAAATACAATAGATTCAAGCAGAAAAACCCAACTGTATCCTACAAAGACTATCCTGTCAAGGCTGTGAATTCTTCAGTCCGCTGCACAACATGCCAGCGCTTCTTGTGCATCAAGAGAGGCAGCACCTGCTGGGGAGACTGGCACACAAAGTAAGAATTCTGGCGACTACGTGAAAGCATGCAATCATACTCTCTCCCTGCTAAGTATAATGCTTATATTTTTGGTAACTATTTTTATATCTACTGTAAAACATTATATACTAATTATTTAGAATTTTGACTCAGGAGATCAGGCAGAAAGGTTAAAATTATTCAGGAACGGAAGGTTGAAAGTGTTAAAGTAGAGATAATATGACTGCTTGCTTGGAACTATCAAACATCTGACTTTTCTACATATAGCACAAAATATTACCGTCTTATTTTCTGAATAATACTATAAAAAATATCCTTAGACATGGAAAACTGAATAAAGAGTTCAATTCAAAATTCCTGAAGAAGCTCGTAGGACACAACAGCGCTGAAATGTGTTTTTTTAATTATTATTGTTCACGCAATACAATAATTAAATGCTACACAATGTAGAGGGTTAATAAATAGGCATGTTGTAAGGGAAGGATCAAGAGTTGTATATTATGAAGATATATAGGATAGATAACGGTTGAACCTCGATTATAGGTAAGCACCACCTCTGGAGTTCATACATTATTGTAACAGATTTGGAGAAGAAACTCTTTGATTAAAACTTACATCTTATAAATGGAATATGAAAATGATGAGAATGAGTCAACACATTGTACGTTGTAAGGCCCGAGGGGCACTCGAGTAGAGGGTTGCATATAAGGGAAACAGTTTATGCATTTATGTCGGGAAGATAACGGTTAACTTTAGATTTTAGCAGATTAAATTTGTAGCAATCTGGATGGCATCGTCTTGGGAGTCGGTTCCACAAAGCAACGGTTCGTGGGAAGAAACTACTTGGGTGGAACATCTCACCAGTGAAATACGAAAGGAATGAAGGTGATTCGCTAGCATTCTTCCAGCATCTTTTGCAAATAACAGACACCAACTCTGCTAAAATTGATTGATTCGTATTCTACGGTTTATGAACCCTTAGCGGCTTATTAAAAAGCAGAAAAAATATCACATTGCACGATTTTTTGTTTGTTGTTTTTTTTTTGGTGGGGGGGGGTAGATAATAATGTTTTAGTGATAGAAGTCTTAGTATTTAATCTATAGCTGGGGAGAGAAGAGATGGATCCATACTTTTCCAAGGCTATTTGCGCGTAAGTGAATATAACGAATGCAACGGGAATTGGAACCCGGCTCTCCTATTAACAATTCCGAACCATTATCCATTACTTCACCCATACATCAAAGCTTACAGCATCAAGAGGTCGTCCATCTCGGTACTGACATTGGTTAAACTCGTAATCGTACGAGAACCGGTGTTTCAACGTGATGTGACCGTAAACCAGTTTACGGTAGAGTAAATAACAAAAACGCAGTCAGTGGATGTTAAGACCCGCTGACAAGAAAATTATATTACAGATTCCAGGGTAAAACTGTTGTAGGAAGGGTATTTTTCAGTGTTCCAACGTTACTACCGGATGTGACACAAGGTCAATTTAAAGTGAGTTTAACCGTAATACCGTGAATAAATTACCCAAATCCTCTCAGCACTTCCACTTTTGGGTACGCAATAAATCCAGACCTGCTACCGAAAAGGTGCAGCCTGAGGAGAAGGCGCCTGGGGCTTGATCTTAAAATTATTTGAACCTCCCGAGCCAAGGCCAAGGAAAGATTAACTGCTGCGGTTAGTTTTCTGTCTATCGATCCCATTCCTTTTTTGATATCACAACGTTACAATCGATGCATGCTCAGATCTTCTTCAAGACGTGAAAATTGGGAAAACTCTGAAAAATGTCTCTTTGTTTCTAATAGTGGCGACAATTTTCTTTTCTACCATTAAAAAAAAAACAGTTAATAAACTAAATAAAAAAACAGAGAAAAAGGAAAAAAAGTCTAATTTTTAATATTTTGGTTGGACCAAGGGATTATTTCACTATTCAAAATATATGTGGTACAGAAGGCTGATTCTATTTTTTATACAGGCTTATTAAAAAGTAACTTCCTATTTGATGTATGATGGACTCTCCCGTCTAATTATAACTTTTACAAGACGGAAGAGTTCATCATACATCAACTAGAGAGTTACTTTTCAATCACCCTATATATCAGGTCATCCCATAAGTTCTGTCCGAATTTTAACTTTTTGTTAAAATGAACGAAATTTAAAGAGTATTTTATAATGTCTAATGGAGCTGAACATTATTTTTATGTTTAGATGCATTTAAACTGATCAAATTTTATTTCAGAGAACAATAAAATTAAATTTTGCTTGATTAAAACCCTGCTAACAAGAATCATTTTTTGGGCATAACGCTTTATGAATTCAAGAAAGGAAACTCAGAAGCCGAAGCGGCTAGAAACATTCACTCAGTTTATGGAGACAAATGTGTGAATGTAAGAACTTGCAGAAGATGGTTTGGAAAATTCAGAAGTGGAGATTTCACCCTTGAAGATGAAGATCGAACCGGACGTCCAGTTGAGTTTGATGAAAAGCTTCTTGAAACCGCCCTTGAAGAAAATCCTGCTTTATCAGTTGAGGAATTGACAGTGGTTCTCAGTTCAAACCATACAACTGTTCATCGTCATCTTCAACAACTTGGAAAAGTTCCTAAACTTCGAAAATGTGTGCCTCATGAATTGTCTGAAAACAACCTCAAATCCTGAGTTGACATCTGCTCTTCTCTCCATTCTCGCCAACTTGTTTCACCTTTTTTGGATAGACTTATGACTGGCGACGAAAAATGGATCTCTTATCGAAATGTTAAGCGTCGTACAGTGGCTGGGTAAAGGGGAAGGACCCCAGCCACAGCCGAGAAGGGAACTTCATGGGCAAAAGGTTCTTTTTTTCAATCTGGTGGGATCGCCAAGGAATAATTCACTTTGAATTCTTACCACTTAATGCAACAATTAATGCTCAAATATACTGTCAGCAATTAGAGCGTTTGAACTAAGCTTTGAGGAAAAAAGACTTGCTCTAGTGAATCGAAAAGAGGTGATGTTTCATCAGGACAATGCGCGACCCCATACAGCAAGAATCAGGTCACAAAAGATCGAACTTGGTTGGGAGAAAATTCCTCATCCACCTTATTCTCCCGATCTTGCTCCTTCAGACTACCATTTGTTTCATAGCTTACAGAATCATTTGGAAGAAACAGCTTTTGTAACACAGGAAGAGGTTAAAACTGATATTTGTGAGTTCTTCGAATCAAAGCCAAAAGAATTTTACAGTAATGGAATTAGTAAGCTTGTTAATAGATGGAAGGAAGTCATAGATAATCAGGGAAAATACATTGTTGATTGAATCTGTAATTAAATATAACATTTGGTCACTTGTATTCTTTATTCAAAATTCGGACAGAACTTATTGGATGACCTGCTACATAGTTACTCACCAGTTGTTTTGTACTACAACCAAGAAATCCGCACAAAGTTGTTGGAATCTACAATAACTTGATTTATAAAATTTTCTGCTAGGCTTATCCACGTGAAGGCCTATATCCAGATATGGCCTGCCATACCAGATCTTTTCCCCCTCCGTGAACACACAGAAGCACAGACGCGTGTTTATTGAATACAACGGACACAGGATAATTCACGTGACGCTAAAATCGATTCGACCGTAATAGCACGTGAATAAACGTTAATTTTAAACTCTGGAACATTAGCAACAGACACTAGCTAGCTACACTTGATTCCAACCTTTTTTTTTTTTTTATTCTTCGCAAAATAATTGGAAAAGAAACACAATGTTTGAAAGTATTAGGGGCATTACACACAATTTTGGCAAATTCCGTCATATATATTCAACGTGATATGACCATAAACTTTACCAACCGCACATCTAAACTTAGAGCACCTGATATTCTCAAGAGGTCACTCATCTAGGTACTGATCAAGCGCGATGTCGCTTAGCTTGTGTGATCGTACGGGAACCGGTTTTTAAACATGATATGGCCAAAAGCTGGTTTACAGGGGCGTAAGAAAGATAGAGACAGTACTGATGCGTACATGCATTTTCACACGCCCATTTGCAAGATGGGTTTTATGCCTGTATAGAAGACGCCGTCAGAGTATTCTAACCTTACTGTAATTACCATACAGATTACAGGGCACAATAACTTTTGCAAAAAGTTTTATGTCTATTGACCTCATTCTTTTGTTTGTATCATAACCTTTCAGAAGATGCTGACTCTGACCTTCTTCCACGTGTGAAAACTCTAAAAACTCTGAGAATGAGCTTCTCTGTCGCTGCTATTGGCTACATTTTTCTTGAAACGACTTATTCAAAAACAGTAACGGCGGAAGAAAGAAAACGACTAATTCGACACCAGAAGGGACTCAGCAAAAGGCTCAATAAATAGACCATGTTGGTTATGTATGGTTACACACAGACATATACATACAAATACACACACACATATGTATATATATATAGAGAGAGAATCAATACACGTATAAAATTTATCAGCTGATTTATGTTACCTTCAGCTTCCCGACTCCAGAATTTCGTAGACGAAACACCCAGAAATCCCTCTGTCCACTCGTCAGGTGATATCAGCAATTGGTTATTTTTATTTCTCGAGTTTTCTTTCTTTTATATTTGTAATCTATTTAAGTTTTTACATAAATATATATTTAAGGCTTAAATAAGACAGTAAATATTTGTATGTGTCTTCACTTGGCCATTATTTCGTTTTCTTATGTGATTTGTTGGTATCTTAATTATTAGGTTATTAATTATAGTAGGTTAGGTTTATAATTAATTTTTTTTCATTATTTTTCAACTTGTATGTTTATGTTTACATTCATATTTACACGCATTTATGCATCTATATACATGCACACACGTATATTGATTTATAATAGCTGAACACTCGTATTCGAGGATATGCGTCTATTAGGGCGGCTAGCCAACCCTTCTGGAGACGCTCGCTCAGGCACATTTGTGTTTTTCAACACCCACCTGTGGTTTATACTGCAACTATGCTGAGCAGACTTTAGTTACAGTGTCTGGGAGAGAGCGTGTTATCTATCATAATCAAAAATTTGAACAAGGCCACACATTCAAACCCTCGGTCACGATGACTTGTGACTTCGTGCTAGCACAGCTATCGACGGCCCCCAAGGTTTCCGTCTACCCAGTTCCACTCACAAGGTTTGGTTCAACCTGTGGTAATGTTTTCAGGCACTTTCCAAAGGTACCGCAGGTAGGGATGCCCCACCTCCAACACACCCCAGACTGATAATGTCAGAAAGTCTCCTTCCTGACAAATCAACCGCAGTGAGATTCGAACCCGGGTCTCATCGTCAGAAAGCGAACATTCTAACCGCAATATGTTTTATATATAGATATATAAAAATGTGCATACATACACATACATATATATATACAAGTGATGAGGTGGGGAACATCTCATCACTGTAACATTTGTATCCACGTTCATTTCAAATTGAGGACCGTTAAAACATAAAATCTACATTGGATATCTCTTGTCTTTCTTTCCTTAAAAATGACCAAAGTTTGTCGAAAAGTACACGGAACATAACACGCAATTTAGGCAAGTTCATTTAAAATATCAAATGACTTATTGAATACAGGAAGAACATAATATGTTTTATTCAATACAATTTGTTTACACGAAGTATAACTGTCTAAATATACTATGTTATATATATATATATATATATATATATATAGAGAGAGAGAGAGAGAGAGAAAGAGAGAGAGATAAAAAAAATTAAGTAAAATTAGTTTATATATATATATATATATATATATATGAACTAATTTTACTTATTTTTTGTATATGTCTATATTTCTGAGATGAGGTATTATGTACACTATTTACATTATTCGGACTACCATCCTCATCTTTGTGGCCATATTTATCACAATATTTCGGCCGTTGTACGCTCCAGCCTTCTTCGGGTGGTTGGAACGTGGAACTGAACCCTTTATTTAGCTCGCTGGGGTAGACTGTTCTAGTTCTACGTGCTATATCTAATGGATGTCACTTATCAGTTATCTCCTGTTAATACATCTCTCCAAGTTCTCCACTACCAAGGACACATGGCACAGTGGATAAAGGCGTTAGTTACATCCAGTGATAGGACCCAAAGAGTTGTGAGTTCAAGATCTGGTTAAGGCAGACTATTTTTAAAAATCAATAATTGATAAAGCCGATCAAAAATCGATAAATTCAACTTTTTTCCTCCGATTTCGTTCAAACTCACTATGCAGGTTACTTACATCATGACGAGCTAAACTATACCCCATTTTTACTTCTACACCACTGCATTTAGCAAAAAACGAAAGACGATTTCAACATAAATCGATTTCAACACAAATTTTAAACTAAAACCTCCCTTCATTTTCAAGCAATCTACTATTAACAAACTTCACTCAATTGTAGGCAACAATAAGCTGATAGTTTAACAGTCAGCTAACTTGATGATTGAGTCCATCCATATAGTGAAAACCCGCGTAAATAGTGAAAAATGGCGATTTTTACTGGTTTCGTTCTTAATTTACGTTGATCTTTCAACCAATTTTCATCAAACATAACAATTGCTTTATAAATGTATTCTCTTTTACATTCCTGGTAGCACACTGACAAATTGAATTTCAAAAACTCCAAAATAACTGTGGTCTGAAGTGGATCTTCATGTTGCCTGTTTTACCCTTCATGTCCTCGGCTAACTTCGATTGAATAAATACAGACTACTTCTGTTATATCAGTAACTGCATTAATTCAAAATGTTTTTTAATGAAAGTACTTTAAATTAATTGAAGATAGACTCTGTTATATCTAAACAAGATGCTGTTTTTGCTCCCTTCAAATTGAACGCTTTTTCTGATCGACCAGCTGGGTATGGCTGCTAGTTCTAAATATAAGAGTCTTTTTTTAGTCCGTTTTCCTTGAAATTTTCTCGTTCCTCACATGCTAGTTCCTTGATTTGTTTTCTCGGATTCTGAGAGCTATACTTAACATCTCCTGGAGACAACATCCAACGAAATGCGCAGGACACTGCTGGCGAGAAAATCAAGATCTCGCGAGTAATCTACTATTCTGGAGCAAGACGAGTTTGTTTTCGGTGATTTCTTTTTACGTGATTTTTTCGATCAATTTTTTGTACGATAATAATTTTTATAACTTGGAAATAAATTTGGGAATAATCGAAATCAATTGTGAAATTCCGCGGAAGTCATGCATGAAATAAAAATAATTGCTTGTATGGAAAGTAAGGACCTGCGTACATCAAAATGTCTTTAAATTAAGTGGTAGCAGAACTATCGTTGGACTTTTAAAAGGTAAGCTTAAATATTAATGCAATACTTAAATGCAGCGATCAATTTTGAGTTCTTCTGTAGTTTATTGTTGCCTATCGCATCTACCCTCACCTACCTATTGTGATGAACGCCAAATCAAGAGATCTCCGCTGGAGCGAGCTTAAATGCCTCCAGATAGGGCAGCTTTTTAAGCTAGTAGATAATAAATGTCTAAGAGTGCTCCTGATCTAGTAATCTCCTTTTCTCCACAGTACAAATCTGAATAAGAAGAGGTTCTATCATTATCCCCTCTCCAGTGACCTTTGATCTCCCCAGCGAGTGCTTCTCTTTTTCTCCGGGACAAATGTTTTTTGTTTTTGTTTTTTTTTGGGGGGGTTCTCAGGCATAAACAATGCTTGTCTGCTTTATTCCAGTCTAATAAAACGAAGATTAAAATTGATCCGCTTCATTTCCCTCGACGAAGCAAACATGAAACATATCGGCATGCCGTTCGGAATCAGAAATCAGGGATTCATTTGGAATTCCAGTCAATATCCTTACATTTAATTACGCGCAAATATCCTTGGGAAAGTTACGAATTAATCTCTTCTCCCACCAGCTATGGTTAAACAGTAGTAAGGACTAGATCATATAGCCATTGTTGCCAACCAGTCTGGAAAAAAGACAATTCTAAAAGCAAAACCTGTGGATGGTCGTTTTCAGAACTTGCACCAGATTTTGTTCACAAGTTCTCTGTTCAACTTTCGACATTCATTGATCATCGCTTAAAATTCTTTCTTTTTTTTTCTTTTTTTCTCTAAAAACAGATTTTCTGGAAATCAAACTTCTTAATTCCACTAATTTTTATCACTTTTTGAAATATTGATGACAGCTTCATTTCAAATCTCTTGTTCTGAATAATAGACGTTTGTGTAAAACATTGTGTATAAATAGATGAAAATACAGAAATGTCTCGTATGAAACTATGGATGCTTCCCAAATCCAGTAGAAATGTTTGAAATACTTAGTCGAGGCCAGAAAATTCGCAAAAAGATCTTAATATTTGCATCTACAAGCTAGAGGCACATTGGAATAATGGTTAATAATTCGGATTGATGAATCAGAAAACTGAGAATTCCAATTGTGTTCATTACATTCAATTACGTGCTAATGCCTTTTGCAAAGGTAAGAATCTATCTCTTTTATAGGGATTTTATGAATAGCAGTCTATAGTGATTTTATAGTTTCGGTATAAGGCATCGTTCCATCTCTACTATGGAGGATAGACTGGGTCGCAACCAATCTAGAAGGAAAATCTGAATTCAAATAGAATCGCATTATCTTAAAAGTGTATCTCCAAATTCTCACTGAAAGTTCTGTTACGGTTTTTTGTGTATATACTGCATATAACTAGTGAGCGAGTCAAAATGACTTATTTCCCTTTATAGTCTACCAATAGAAGATTAACCAATCAGAAGACGCAGAGCATTGTAGCCGTCGTGTATAAAGGCGGCCATCTTTGTTCTCCTACCGGAATGACCAGAGGCAACTTGTCCGGCGAACAGGACAGACGGAAGAACTACGCTCTGCTAGTTTGCTGTGATATCCACTGCGAACCCGCACTACGCTTTCCTACTGTCTCCGAAATATTCACTGCCAACCTCTGGATTCTATACTCGAGGACGGCC